GGAAGGAAGGAAGGAAGGAAGGGAAGGGAAGGAAGGAAGGAAGGAAGGAAGGAATTTCAAGCCACCAGCCATGAAGAAAAGTTGCCTGCCTCTAGGGTCTCTCTTCCCATGAGAGGACACCAGTTCTCCTGTTTGACAAGAAGTAAGGCAACGGCTGAGAAGCGGCTTCTGAACCCTCCCACTTCCCAGGACAGGCAGTTTAATTTACTCTAGTCCCCTGACCATCTTGGTCCATTCCCACAGCGGGCGTCTGCACCCCCAGAAGCAGGGCTCGGTTACCTGATTAAACAAGGCCTGCAAACCATCATGCCTGGCTTTCAAAGCAGGAAAGGAAAGCAATCAATCACGCCTTATTTGACAAGCGGCCTAGGGTTTTATCGACACCTATGGAAACGCCATCCGGTTCGGGCCAGACTGACAGAGAGAGATCACAGCTATTTTGGAACCTGGTTGCCGAGTTGAAGGCAGACTTAACTGACACCTCACCTGCCCCCCACCCCCCCACCCCCACCCCAATTTTTGCTGCTAAACCCACTTGCTGCCCCATGCTGGGCAAGCCGAAGTAGAAGTGGCTCCTGGGTATCTTAAGCCTCAGAAGGATTCCATGGCTTGACGACACTCTTGGCCCAGCTGGGTTTAATATACTTTGCTCTCTCTCAACATCTCTACCAGATGTTCAACAGCTCAACTACTGCTGGGGTTCTCACCTCCCTGACCCTTGAGCCAACTCTAGTTCCCCGGTGAAATCTGAAGTAAAAACGAGAAGAAGGAAGGAAGAGGAGGAGGAGGGGGACGCTGGATAGGGAAGCTGGAGCAGAAGGGACAAAGGAGGGAAGAAGGGAAGATGGAAGAAGGAGGAGGAAGAAGAGGAAGGAGAAGGAAAAGAAGCAGAAGGATAAGGAGGAGGAGGAGCAGGAGGAAGAGGAGGAGGAGGAGGAAGAAAACCTACATGGAACAATGAAGAAAGAAGAATGAAACAAAGAAGAAGAGGAGGAAAAGGAGGAGGAAAAGGAGAAGGAGAAGGAGAAGGAGAAGGAGAAGAAGAAGAAGAAGAGGAGGAGGAGGAGGAGGAGGAGGAGGAAGAGGAGGAGAGGAAGAAGAAGAAGAAGAAGAAGAAGAAGAAGAAGAAGAAGAGGAGGAGGAGGAGGAGGAGGAGGAGGAGGAGGAGGAGGAGGAGGAGGAGGAGGAGGAGGAGGAGGAGGAGGAGGAGGAAGAAGAAAACCTCCATGGAACAAATTAAAGTCTTGCAAACCAGCCCAATTTGCTTTCAAGAGTCTTCCAGTGGCAAGTCAACTGTGTTCTTTTGGCACTTGTCTCTTCTTCGCAACGTCATCCAGATGTGCTTACGGTTAAGAGTCAAAGGCTCCCCAAGAGGGAAGCCAACAAACAGAAGCTGCCTTGTCATTTACGGGAGGAGGCGTTGAGAATTATGGGTTGAGAGGAAGCATAAGTCCCTTCCCTGTAATGGGGAATGAACGTCTAAGCGCATTAAGAACCGTTTGAGAGCAATGCTACAGGTAGTCCTTGACTTACAACCCTCCACCGAGGGACTATTCAGAGTCAGAACGCTGAAAAGTGACTTAGGATCCTTTTTCACACTTTACGACCGCTGAAGAATCTCCACCATGGCCAAGGGATCAAAATTCAGACGCTTGGCAACTGACTCGTATTTGTGACGGTTGCGGCACTTGCCAGATACTCTGCTTAGGGCCACTGCTGGCTGGAGATAACCCCCAACCCCCATCCCCACCCCAGCAAAGGCTGTTAGCCATATTCGTATTTGCTTGGGAGTTTTTCCACATCTGAAAAGAAGCAGATAAGATATACAACAGCCAGAAGCTGTTCAGCCAGGGCTCACAAAGTCCCTTCTAGGGAGAGGCCCATCCAACGGAGGAAGAAGAAGCCACCTGGGAAAACTGAGGTCACGTACAACCTTGGGCAACAGCAAAGGGATATTATATATATATATATATATTTTACAGACCCCTCACATCCTGGACATAAACTGTTTCAACTTCCACCCTCAAAACGACGCTATAGAGCCCTGCACACCAGAACGACTAGACACAAGGGGAGTTTTCCCCGAAAGCCATCACTCTGCTAAAACAAATAGTTGCCTCAACACTGTCCAACTATTTACAAAGTCTGCACTACTATTACTATTAATCTTCTCATCACTCACCCCTCCCCTCCCACTTGTGACTGTATGACTGTAAGTTTGTCGCTTGTATCCCTAGGATTTATATGGACTGTTTCCTAGTAGGATGTGATTGCTTATTGTACCCTCTGACTATCATTAAGTGTTGGACCTGATGATTCTTGACGAATGTATCTTTTCTTTTATGTACACTGAGAGCATCTGCACCAAGAC